GTATGCAAAAATAAATAAATATTTAAAAAGATAAATAAATATTTAAAAAACAAGACTTAAAACAATAAAGCTGGAAAAAATTTTTTACCAGCAACTGGCCCCCATCAGAAGGCAGGGGCAGCCATACTTACATCAGTAAAATAGAGCTCAAACTAAAAAAGATAAAAAGATACATCGATGGTCACTACATTATGATCAAGGTGACAATATGCCAGTAAGTTACAACAATAACAAGTATCTATGGACCCAGTGAAGGAACACCAACATACATTTAGACAGTAACTTTCAAATCTGAAAAAAAGACAATGGAGAAAATATATATGTGGTAGGAGACATCAGCACCCCATGTTCATCAGTGGACAGATCAACAAGACAAAAAATAAAGATACAACAGCCCTAAACAAAGACTTTGAATACATGTATAGGACACTCCACCCAAAAAGCTCAAATATAGATCCTTCTAAAATGCACATGGATAATTCTCCAGGATAGACCATGTACTGGGATACAAAATAAATCAACAAAATTCATGAATATCAAAATCATACCAACCAACTTCTCTGATCATAAAGGCATCAAACTAGAAATCAATTACAAAGTAAAAGCAAGGATCTTCCCCCCACTACCCATGACACGGAGAATGAAGTACATGATACTGAAAGGCCACTGGATCAATGAGGGTATCAAAGAAGAATATAAGAAGTACACTGGAAAAAATGACAAAGAGGTCACAAATTTCCAGAATATATGGGACAAAGCAAAAGAAGTAATAGGAAAAAACTCTGTAGTAATAGAGGCCCACACCAAGAATCAAGAAAGAATCCAAAACAAGCACCTAATCTCCCATCTCAAAGAATTAGAAAAAGAACAACAAAGAGACTCAAAAAACTAGTAGAAGAAAGAAAATAAAAATGCAAGCAGCAGTAAATGAAATAGAAGTAAAAAGACAATCTAAAAGATCAATGAAACCAAAAACTGGTTTTTTAAAAATAATAGGTAAACCTCAAGTGAGCTGACAAAGGAAAAAAGGGAGAAAACTCAACTTCATTTATGATGAAGGCCCTTGAAATTCTTAGAAGAACATACCTGTATGTATGTAAAACTCACATACAACAAACCTAAAGCAAATATCATTCTTAATGGTGAGAAACTAAGTCCCTTCTCTTTAAGATCTGGAACATTTTCACCACTGCTTTTTAATATAATACTGGAAGTCTGAGCAAGAGCCATTAGGCAAGAGAAAAACATACAGGGAATCCATATAGAGAAAAAGGAAGTAAAAGTTCACTATTCATGGACAATATGACAATATATAGAGAGAACCCTAAAATTCCATATAAAAACTAATTAAAATAATAAAAGTTTAATGAAGTAGAAAATGTAGCAGCTTACAAAATCAACACATAAAAATCAGCAGCTTTCCTATGTGCAATCACTATACCTGAAGAAGAAATCAAGAAAACCATCCCATTCACAGTTGTACTAAAAAAATTGAATACCTGGGAATAAACCTCACAAAGTAGGTGAAAGTCCTATAACAAGAAAACTACAAAACATCATTCCAATTGCTATTTCTATTTCATGGAAACCTTGAAAACTTCTGGTTAGAATAATTTTTGCCTTAGTGATTATTTTTGCCTTTTTTACTGTCCATTTGATTAGTTAAGAACTCATGACATGGAAGTTTGGTTATAAATTCTAAAATAGTTTATACACGCATTACTTAGAGTTGTTCTACTAATTCTACTGCCCCATTTTGATATATGTTCAATTTCTTTTTTATCATTCATGGTTGATTTTCATTTCTTTTTCATCTTTACATTATCTCTGAAATGTATTTGAATGAATGATTGGAAAGCCAGGCAATCTTTCTGCCACCATCATTTTTGAGAGGTTTTCGAGCAGTAAGGAGAATTAAAATAAATGGAAATTGCCACATATGTCTTATATTTGGGAGAGATAACGACCAATGCATATTTATTAGAGAGTCACTGAAAAATTAAATAGATTGATACAGATGTTAAACATAAATTCCTGATAAAGGAAGAAGATGCCTGTTAAGAGATTTCCAAAAGATGGGCGCTGAATTAGAAACAAGCAGTATAGAGACTCCCCACAAATGTGATGATTTCATCAATTCTTCAAGTGTTCGCATCTTTTCTAGAAAAGGGCTATCGGAATATAAGACTACAATTGCATATTCAATCATGAATGTGGACTCCACACAGGCAGGAATCCTTGTTAATTCTATACTCCCAATTCCTGGAATGGTGTCTGGCATACCGTGTACTTAAAGGTATCTATTGAACTAATTAAACAAAACTCACTCTGAGACCCACTCAGGAATCAGTTACACATCTTCAAAAACAGCTGTTTTTCTTCCCTTTTTCTTTCTTGTCCTTCCATCTGATAGAATTAGTAAGAATTATTTTCACTTATGTGGAGGTAAACTGTTTTCATTCTTACACAAACTCTTATTGTACAAATACGAAAATAAGCAGGCAGTTTAAAAAATACTCTGCTATTTTCACAAAAATTTCCTAAGTCTACTTTCCACCTTCTCCTCAAGCAACCCATTACCAGCATTCCCCTTTGGTCACTGTGGTCAAATTTCTGTGGCCCTAGGAGACAATTCCCTTGACTGAGTGTACTCAATTGGGAGTCCCAGATCTCCATAGTCCCAGCACTTAAGTAACTTTCCAGTGCTGTAATTAGCAGCTTTTTCTGTGCTGGAGGTATTATGTAGGACTTTATATTCCAGGTGTTCATAACATTAGAAAGATAGGAACTCTATATTTTGTGGCTTTTTAAAATCTATAATTTCAACCTTGGTTCAGAAAGGTTAGACGGGGCATCTAATGAACCAGAAGACACAGCACAGTTCTGATATTCATCAGGGAAAAGGCAATATTTACCATACTCAGGACCCAAATATAACAGACATCTGAAGTGGAATGTCTGAAAGCCAAGGGTCAAACATAACAATTATGAATTTGTTAACCAATTGGTTCCTTAGCGTCAGCAAAGCTATTTACGCTCCTTTTATCTGTCCCCCTACATTTCAAAGAAAAGGATTTTATAGTCACTAGTAAATGTGCATTCAGGTGCCAGGAACAATAGCCTTGTAGCAGGCTTGTTGCATTGCCAAAGTAAAAGCAATAATTTTTGGAATATGCAGCTGCAGTGCCTGATCCTGCACGTCTTTTTACTATTCTGTCATGAGCTCTTTATTTTACCAAATTCAGGAAGAATGATCTAATGAAGAAAGTGCTAGGATGATCAGAAATTACAAGTTTCTTGTTAATCTTATGATTTCCAGTATCTAGTTTAAACTAACCTTACTAGTAATATAAAATTAAAGGTAGCAAGTACAGATCATCATCTGAATGAAGATCAAATATTGATCTGTAGAAAACAGTCTACAATTATCAGCCTTCCTGAGTTGAAATTTAAAGAAAAATTTGTTTCCTTTTCTTTTGGCCAGCTCAAGATGAGAACAGAGTCAACTGGTTATTGGATGATCTCTGAGGTATCTCTCATTTCTTACATTATATGCTTAGTGCTGGGAGGCTGGGTGAGTCAGGGCTCTACTAGTCAAAATCAAGGAGGTCAGGACACTATACGGGCACACTAGATTTAAGTTTGTGATCACCAGTGATAATTTGTTTTCCTTTTGCAGCAGTGAGTGAGGTGCAAAATTCCATTGTGTTAAAAGGATCAGATTTAAACTATTATTGTGCTCTTCTGTAAAGGGGAACATGCTTGCTAGAGGCTGGTACAAAGTATGACCCCAAGACATAAAGACAGAACATGAAGAGTGTCCAGGAGGCCTGGGTACTATGTTAGTGTACTAATGGTATAGAAATACTATATATTAATATAGTACATGAATACACTATATTCTTTTACAAATTTTTAAACAACTTAGGAATTATGTAACTTTGAAAATCTTGCTAATCTAATAAAAAATATCATCCATTTTTGAAGATAAAGTCTCATGCAAAGATTTAGAAAACATTTGGCCATAAAATGCATACAATAAAACAAAATTAACTCCTTCCTGGTCATTGATATCTTGACTCATATTTGGAAATTTAATTCCAGTGGCAAAACAAACAAAAGTAAATAAATGAATGGATCTATATCATTAAAATTTCTTTTGTGTAGAAAAAGAAAACATCGGATATATGGAAAGAAAACCTATAGAGTAATTGAGGACATTTGATCATCATACATCTGACAAGGACTTAATATCTAAAATATGAAGATCTAATACAACACAAAAACAGAGCAACCCAATAAAAAAAGAGTAGAGGATTTGAGTGGATAGTGGATGACTAACAGTGTGCACATTAAACAAGTTCCACTTTACTTAATAGTAGAGAAATTTAAATTAAAAACCGGTAACTGTGAGAATGGAATATGTAGAAAAGACTGGTGCCATGACCTGACATCTCTTTTCATTTCCTTTTTCCTGAAAATAACTTAACTTGTCCTAATTTAGAGATATGACAAATTCACATCTTGGGCCTTAAAAAAATGTTTACCTGGGTTTTGAATTAACTTGCCAATGTGTTCATAAATACAGCAGCATTACTGCGATATGTCTGAATTATGATACACACTATCACTTAATATTTTCACATAACTAAATAAAATGTAAATGTCCTATGTCTTATAACCATAAAGGAACTATGAGTATGCAATAATGAGGTTTACAACAGTTAGTCTCCAAATAATTAGAAGATTTATTACCTAGAACACATTCTAGCAATGAAAGTTAACAGAGAGATATGTGTACACACACACACACACACACACACATAGGTTTGTAACTGAAATAGTTTCCAGTTTCAGTTTCCAGTTTCCAGCCTTTGCCTGGTTTTCTACGTCTATTGAGCTGTCCATATTAAATTTAAGATCAGTGCCATTTTCCTAAATCAGCTCCTCCTTACTCTCCTCTTTCAGGAAGCATGAGCGTTTTCATGGCTTCAGGGGCAATGGATGAAGTGAATCACTCAGTGGTGTCTGAGTTTGTGTTCGTGGGACTTTCCAACTCATGGGAGATCCAGCTGCTCCTCTTCCTTTCTTCCTCTGTGTTCTATGCTGCAAGCCTGATGGGGAACCTCCTTATTGTGCTAACAGTGATCTTTGATCCTCATTTAAAGTCCCCCATGTACTTCCTGCTGGCCAACCTCTCCATCATCGATGTGATGTTTTGCTCCTCCACAACTCCCAGGATGATTTATGATCTTTTCAGAAAGCAAAAAACCATCTCTTTTGGGGGTTGCATAGTTCAAATCTTCTTTATTCATGCAATTGGTGGCACTGAGATGGTGCTGCTCATCGCCATGGCCTTTGACAGGTATGTGGCCATATGTAAGCCCCTCCACTACCTGACCATCATGAGCCCACGTATGTGCATTATATTTTTGGTCACTTCCTGGATTATTGGCCTTATTCATTCAGTGGCTCAGCTGGTTTTTGTTGTAGACTTGCCTTTCTGTGGCCCTAATGAATTGGATAGCTTTTTTTGTGATTTGCCTGGATTTATCAAGGTTGCTTGCATAGACACTTATACATTGGGATTTATGGTCACTGCCAATAGTGGTTTTATTTCTGTAGCTGCCTTTTTCATTCTGATAATCTCTTACATCTTTATTTTGGTGACTGTTCAGAAAAAATCTTCAGGCAGCATATCCAAGGCCCTCTCTACCCTGTCAGCTCATGTCACTGTGGTCATTTTATTCTTTGGGCCACTGATCTTTTTTTATATATGGCCCTTTCCTATATCACCTCTGGACAAATTTCTTGCCCTATTTGATGCAGTTATCACTCCTTTCCTAAATCCAGTCATTTATACTTTTAGGAACAAAGATATGAAAGTAGCAATGAGGAAACTATGTGCTCAGCTTGTGAATTATAGTGAAATCTCTTAACAAAGTATACTAAAATCTCACATGAGTAAACCAAGTAAGGTATATTAATTTAGCCAGAATGACCAAAGTATAACATGCTGTGTATTATGTCCTGTTTTATTTTTTCCTTCTAGACTGAATTGTGATGACAGTCTCTGAACTCTGCTTACGGATCTGTCTTAAAGACTCATGGTCATGGCTCTTAGCTCTCCAATGGTATTCTCTTTGTACAGTGTCAAACATAATTAATAAAAATGTAAGATAATCCTTTTCAAAGTCAATATGTTACATATTGTTCATATTCTGTATTTTCCATGTTCTTTGGACCACTTCAGAAGTAAATTTTAATTTTTACTTAACTGATTTTTTGATGTAGTGAGATGATTTGTTTTCTTTCTTTTCTGCTCATTATTTGTTAACTTCTTTCACTGTATTATTACTTGTCTGGTTTTTTCAGGGTCTAGTAAGGATACAGGAAGTCCTTTTTTTTTTAAAGATTAATTCATTTATGCATACAGAACTGGGGTACAGGCCAGAGGTGTGGGGGGTGAGAGATTCACCAGAGACACTGGGGAGCAGAACAGGCAGATTGACTAGTAAGTACACTGCTATGGGGAGCAGTGGGTAGGTCAGGAGAGGTCTGCCATGCCATGTGGATTATTTCCAGGGCTGGGGATCGAACTCGCACTGAAGCAGCTGCAGCCAGTTTGCAGTGCTGCGTTCTAACCTGCTGCACCACCAGGGAGGGCCAGGAAATCCTTTTATAATAGTCATTTTGATATAAAGAATTGTTAAATAATTTAAATTGTTATGGAGGTGTTTGAAAAGAATAAGCTCTAAGTTATCTCTGATATAGCTCTTTTATGAAGCACCTTAAGGATGGGAATAAACAACTCATTCTGTGTATATGAGTGTCAAATTCAAAAAGCTATTGCAAATTGGGTGGGACAATATGTGAAGGTATAACTCAAAGATCAAAGCTTCTTGGCTGATGCCTGTTTCTTGACCTTAGGAAATAGTCCATGAAGGGAGGGAATAATCCCTAAGGGGGGTGATTTAACAGCGAAGATGAAACACGCATATAATATAAAGTCAAGTCATTGCAAAAATAAATAGGTATTTCTGAAGAGGATATGATAAGCCTGGGTGTGATGAGATGGTTCCTCTTATATTGGAGAACAGTTGCTGCCTTGGAATAAAATACAGGTCATTGAAGTGAAGAGTATGACAGGTGATGTTTGAAAGTGCAGTAAGCAGAGGAAAGCTCATAGGTAGCAAAGTGGAAGGAGCACATTCTGTCTCCATCTTCCAAAATTGACTCTCCTTCTAGTGCCCTCTAATAGCAATGCTGGGAAAAAGGAGACATAGTTTGGACAGCCTACATTGCTTCATCATTCTATTGTAGAAAGGTACTTTGGAAATGAATATAGTAACTCATATACTACTTGCAATCTTATAGAAAGATATTCAACTCAAACTAGGCTCATACAGAGTTTTTGAAATTTAAAGTAAAGTATAAATATACTCATTGAGTTCCCTATAATAGAATGTCTCAGGCATTGGAAAGTTAAGTAGTTATATCAAAATTGATAAGGAATATATGGAATAGTCTAATCTAGAATTTTAGTTTGACAGACTCATTGATCTTTGTTGTCTTCTGTCTTTTAGATCTTAGTTGTTTTCTTATAAGTCCACTGGACTATTAATTTCTCACTAGTTACATTCTATTATCAATCTTGTATCTTAAATATCCATTTTATGAAGCAGTAGAATTTCAACAAGTGATTTTCACTATACAATTTAGTTTAACCCTAGCTGTAGAATTTTTTGATGTCATTGTAAATGGGATAGTTCTTTGATTTATTTCTTTTCTATCTTGTTTGCATGTAAGAATACAAAATGTTTTGTAATTTACTACTTTATTGTATGTATATGCTACATCTTCTTAATTCATTTTCAAAAGTGAGCTCTTTAGATTACTAGTCATGTATTTTGTAAAATCTCCCTCAGTTTGAGTTTGTCTGCAGTTCTTCCTATTAGCCTGGGCTTTTATAAAGAATGCCATAAAAATGAAGTGACCCTCTTATTACTTCAGATCACATTACATAATATTTAAACGTCTTCATGAGTGATACTAAATTTGCTTAGTTTATTATATGACCCTAATACAAGAAGCAATATATTATATGTTACATCTGATATTCACATTCTTTCTACTCAAGTAGTCAATCCCTTAGTCCAAGCTACCTATGGATTTCCTGGTATTTTGAGGCTTTTGCATGTGTGACTTCTGTATTTCTTGGGAGTATAAACAATAATTTATTTCAACTCTATTCCTCCCCCCCCCACCCTTTAGAATATCAAGACAAGTGATGTAGGTGATTGGTTATGAGCCTCTCCCTTTCCTCCTTTTGTAGTTCAGTTACGTTTTGTTTCTATCCAGATTGAACTCTTGATCTCTGTCTTATGCCCTTAGAATTTGGCTTAGTTTTCCCCCAATGCATTTAACTTTCATATGTCTGTTTGCGTAATCACTCCTTGCAACTTCTTGGTGCCCCAATGTTTTATGCAGTTGCTCTAGTCTAATTCTACCTGAATGAACATTTGCACATTTTGTCACAAATCTTTGACACTGAACTGTTACAGCTGGTGACAATGTGAAGTGCTCTAGACCCTGTGGATAAAGTAATGAGGCATTTTCTCAAAATACTAGAAATTGCTGTCCTACAAGCCAACGATTTTACTGGAGTTCAGGACAGTGAAGAGGAAAATTGTCTCCTCCACTCCGACATATCCTAATTTGGAATTTTCCCACTAATTTACAATGGCCATTTGCTTTATTTGTATCATTTTTCCTAGACCCTAAAAAAGCTATTAAGAAAATTATGGTTACAAGTTCAATAGGTCAATGCATCAATGCATTAATAGGTATTATCTTGACTACTGCTGAACCACAAGAAGACATGAATGAGGTTTTTATTGTAATGTTGCTTTTAGTAGAGGGAGGGTAGTATGATATACAAAATATGAAATAACTGTATATTTTTAAAATATTTTTTTATTTATGCACACAGAATTGGAGTACAGGCCAGAAGTGCAAGGACAGTGAGAGGATTCACCAGAGACAGAGTAGGGAGCAGAACAGGCTGACTGATTAAGTACACTGCTGAGGGGAGCAGCGGGCAGATCAGGAGAGGTCTGCCACACCATGTGGGTCACCTCCGGGGCCAGGGACTGAACTTATGCTCAAGTGGCTTTAGCTTCTTAAAGCTGTGCTTTAACCCTCTACGCCATCAAGGAGGGCCCCGAAATAACTGTATTTTATAGGTACGGTCTAAATAGAACACACACTCATAATAGAATTGTAGAAGAGTTCTGGAGAACCTTGGTTTAAAGTCATTAATCTTTAGAAACTGATTCATAAAAAGCTCTGGGGAAGTAACTTGGCAGTAAGTAGAATCTTAAGAGACACCAAAACAAAGAGATACCCTACTGTAGATTGGTAGAAAATTTTTGTACTCCATACAACTGTTAAGGGACTGATCACAAAGCCATACAAAGAATTCAAATGACTCAACAAAGTAAACAATCCAGTAAAATAAATGGGCTGAAGAACTTAAAAAACACTTCTCCAAAGAGGAAATGCAAACAGTTAACAGGCATATTCTGCTCTCCACTCTGTCTCTGGTTAATCCTCTCACTGACCCTGCACCTCTGGCCTGAACCTCAGTTCTGTGTGCATAAATAAATAAATCTTTAAAAAAATATAGAGGGAAACTAGATGTGTTACTTTGCAATGTAAATTGTAAATTTTTTACTTTTTAATATTTTGAGGGGTTCTTATTATTCATTCTAGACAGGCATAGTAAGGACAATGGCATTTTTTCAATAATGGATTTTTTTTGTAAACTTCAATAAAAATATTTTAGTCTTCCATTGCAGGAAATTGTACAGTTGCTTGGAAAAAAGAAATATGAGAAATATGAGAAAGAAAGACTGCATTTTCAAAGCAAGTATTATAAATAGGTAAATTTAAAATTAACAAAAATGACAAACTATTTAAATTTTTTTCACCTAGTTTGTATCAATATTTATACTTATTTTGCTTTTATCTATTTGTTAGGTTTAAAAAAATTGATATATAACAGCTGGTCCATAAAATTTGCATGAATTTCTTGGAAGATGAATAGTGTTAAATTACTTGGTGATATAATAGAATTTAAGTTGACACAGGTTGATATTCTTAAAGATTCCTGTGCCATTTCTCCCTCCTGTGACTCATTATCAACCTTTCCCCTTTGATGTTTGAATCACAGTGAAAATATTTTGAGGAGAAAATATCCTTGACCAACTGACTTTAATTCTGCAGTCCCAGATCACCCTACTATTATTTGGTTACTATCCTCCAGTGTAGCTAATTAGCCAATTTTTCCAGTTATGGAAACACTTAATATAAATGGGTGTGCTTGAGATGAAAAACTATAAGGGAAGGAAGGGGTGAAGTTGACCAGCCAGAGGAAAATAATAAATTAAATAAAGTCAGCAACAGGGGCAACTCAGGTAAAAGTTTGTTTTTTGTTTTATCAACTAAGCTGTGACCTGGGGGTAGGAAGAGGCAGGTGGTGGTGGAGAAATGTGGCTGGTGAGGGAATAAACAGGGATGGCTGTAGAATAGGAGAGCAAGAATTAAAAGTCTTAATTTCTAAGGAGGACCTGGAAATGACTTAGAGAATTAAAAGTGCAACTGAAGATACACTGCAGAGTTGGGGACCACATGAGGTCAGGACTAGGATGCAGGATGAATTGTTCACTGCATCCACAGATCTTTCTGAGCACTTAAAGTAACGATATATGCTTGTAGTCTGCAAAACAAGCTTGTCACCTGATTTAGTGAATTAAAACGGAGAAGTTCATCAGGTATTGTTGAGAGGTGGTGTTTTTGAAAAAAATAGAACTTGAGTTTCATAGACTCAAACAAGAATGAGTAAAAATTACTTAGTATAAAATATCTAGGGATCTAA